CTATACGGATCAGAAACTTGGCCAGTGTGTCACAAAGAATATTTCCAACAGCCTGTTGCAGACCTTCATCAACAACTGTCTTCGCTCTAAACTGAAGATGAGATGGCCGGAAAGAATCACAAACAAGAAACTATAGGAACAAACAAAACAGGAACCAATCGCTCAACAAACATGCAGGAGAAAGTGGAGATGGATTGGACACTGTCTGAGGAGGCCGTTGGGTGACATCGCGCATCAGGCCAGTGCTCGAGTGGAACCCGAAAGGAAAGCGGCGAGTGGGACGTCCAAGGGTGACATGGAGGAGATTGTGTGAAGAGGAACTGTAACAGTATGGATTAACATGGATGCAAGTGAAAAGTACAGCACAAGAGAGAAGCAAGTGGAGCGGTGCAGTTGAAGCCCTATGTTCCACTAGGAATTCAAGGGAACAATAATAATAATAAAATATATCCAGATTTTGCTAGGTTTTTATGCTCGGCTAGTCTGATTGCCCATGTTCTACTGCTCTGACCTATGTAGTTGACCTGACAATCATCGCTGGCAGGGTATTAGATAAACTAAATTGTTTTGTTTTAAAGGCTCCACAAGATTCATCCTTTAACCGACAAAGCTTGTTTCTAATTGAGTTTGAGGTTGGTGTGAATGGCAGCCACTTTTATTCCTGCATTGTTAAGAATTCTGCATAAGGTTTCCGAGGTTCCTTCCTTGTATGGAATTACTACTGATGATTTAGATTCCTTATTGTTGGTGTTGTCATTGTCCTGCGCATGTTTGACATGCATGCCGTCATTAATATTACTATTGTTATTATTATCACTATCACTGCTGTCATTATTTATTTTATTTTTACATTTCCCTACATACTTTCTGACTAATTTATCAGGGTGATTACTAAGTTTCAAAGCTTCTGTTGTATGCCTCAGTTCCTGTCTTAGATTTTCCTTGGTACTACTTAGATTTGTGCTCTATTACTTACACATTTCACCAAACCTATATTCGCTGACGTAGGATGGGATGATCGGAAGTCCAAATATCAGTTTGAATGTGCAGGTTTCCTATAAACACTTTCGAAGCGTCATTCAGTAAATAATGCTGTTTCACTGCATGATATATCTAATAAACAAACTAATATGGAATTAAATGCTAACAGCCACCTTTGAAGTGAAACTGGTCACTAACCAAAATTGATAGACAAGTATGAAATCTCACTTCACTTTGAAATCATCTCTGAAGATATATTACTTGAAAGGACGCTGAAAGCTTGTCAGTCAGAACCTCCTAGTTTAGACAACATTATGAAATAAGAAAGATTCTCCTTACCTACAACCATTTCCTATAATTCTGTTGAATAGCCATAAATTAGTCGTTTTGATGGGTGAACATTAGTCAACAGCTAAAATTTAGAACAAACGCTCTGCTCCTGAAACTTTAAAAGCTTGCAGTTCTATGTTTCACTCTGAACGCACAAATTTATTCAGAACAACAACAGGTAAGGTGAAACTTGATAAGCAGTTTCATTGAAACATGTAGCAGCCGTTTTATATTCGTCTGTTTATTGGATATATCACAGACAGTGAAACACTGTTATTCACTGGATGACATTTCGAACACAATTTTCTATTGTGTAATTTATTGTTAACTAATGCAGTTTTGTTTATTGAATCATTGGAGGACAGGTGCAACACCTGTCCCAAACGCCCCGGGGAAATTCTATTACAACCGCATAAAATGGGAGAGGAGAACGAGAAGTGTAAATTCTCGTTTCTAAGTTATGTAATTCCGCCACGCTCCACTGATATGTGTATTTGAATACTACTCACGTCAACCGGATTACAGTTTCACTCATTTGCAGTTGAAATCATCGGCGCACTACCCGTTTTAACTCAAGAGCGGGATCAGATTAAAAAAACCAAAATTCTGGCCAGCTACTTGGGGGAACTGGTAAAACGTGAATTCAGATTTGCTACAATTTGTATGATTTTGAATAATAAGTTGTGTTTGAAACGTCCCACGTAAAAATTTACACACATATTCATGCAGTACACTTTCTCACAGAATTAAGCGCTGACATAAATATATGTGTAAAAATTGGGCACTGTGGTAGTAAGTAATTTCATATTAGTTTGTTTATTAGATATATCACACAGTGAGTGAAACAGTATTGTTTACTGGATGACACTGTTTAGAACACAATTTATTACTGTTCCTAATCATATCAATTATAACCACACGACTTCGAGACTTGAATTTTATGGTTTTCTCTGTTCTCTCCTATTTGTCTTACGCGTAGTAGAATTTTCCAGATATCGGGATGGACAGGTGATGAATCATTCCTATTCCACGTGTATTTGCAGTTGATTCGATAAACAAAGCCTTCGCTGACATCAATCTCTCCCCCCACCATGCTGCCACATTAGATTTTAAAACTGTCATCTTATCCGACCCAGCCTATTGTATGGTTGTGTGTAATTGCATGTAGTTAGTGCTATGGCTGAACTATTCTCCAGATTTCTTATCTTATTCGGGTCAACTAATCCAGATTCTGCTAGCCTTTTCTACTGCTTTGACCGAAGTATTTGACCTGACAATAACTGCGTGCAGGGTACTAGATAAACTAAATTGTTTGTTTAAGTGGTTCCACAGGACTGATCCTGTAACCGACAAAGATTGTTTGTAATTGAGTTTGTGGGTTTGAATGCCAGCCACTTTTATTCCTGCCTCGTTACGAATTCTGCCTAAAGTTTCCGAGGTTTCTTCCTTGTATGGAATTACTATTGATGATTTATATTCCTTATTGTTGGTGTTGTCTTGCTCATGTTTCACATGCATGTCGTCATTAATATTACTATTATCACTATCACTACTATCATTATTTATTTTATTTTTAATTTTACATTTCCCTGCATACTTTCTGACTAATTTATCGGGGTAATTATTAAGTTTCAAAGATTCTCTTATATATCTCACTTCCTGTCTTAGATTTTCCTTGCTACCACTCTGAAGAGAAATTGGTGACTTATCAAGAATGATAGACACGTATTAAATCTCACTTCATTTTGAAATCATCTCTGAAGATATTACTTGGAAGGACGCTGAAATCTTGTCAGTCAGAACCTCCTAGTTTAGAGAACATAATGAAATTAGAAAGATTCACCTTACCCACAACTATTTCTTATCATTCTTTGGGATGTAAAGAATCAAGTATTTGTAATCTGGATTTCCTTTAAACAAGTTCATGTTAGGTAAACTGAAATTGATTGTTCAAGTATTAGTTTGTAAGGATTTGATTTGTTCCAAGCGTGACTGCGGACTGATATCAGTTAGACAACCACTGAAAGCCAGCAGGGAGTACTGAACAACTGTTTCATCGTAGTTCGAGACTCATCAGCATATCCTCTAACTGGTATCAATCCGTGGCCAAATTTGAAACAAATCAAATCCCTACAAACAAACTCTTCAAAGTTAATTTATCTGCATGACGAAGTTGCTTGCACTTCTATTGACAACTAGTGACTAATAAGGTACACCTGGTAGGAAATGAGAATAAATACTCATCACCGATAAGACTGGCTGTTAGTCATGCTAAATTTACGAATTGACAGAATAAGAATTTACGGGCTAGCCGTTGAGTTGGACCTCAATTGGTGAGTAGTCTACGAGCTTTCTTTTTAGCTGGAATGCCCTGGATTCGAACTCTGCAAACTACCGAAGAGTCCCATACTAAGAAGAAACAACTTTCCAATACTCACTACCTGGTTTTCAATGGTTCTCTAACTAATATCGATCTTTTGTCAAGCTTAAAACTGGATGATTCTCTCTGTGAAGCAGGGTACATTGGTCAGAGCCAGAGAACGCCGCTTTCCACACGGATAAGAGGACATATTCTAGGATGGTTTTACAAGGGGATAAAGAAGGCTGCGAAGCTCTATTCTAGGACATTTGGTGAACTCCTGCCACTCTATCCACCCTGACCACGATTTTAAGATCAACTATCGAACCCATGCTAACTTGTAGGCGGCGTTTTCTTCGTTCTAAATTTCTAGAGAAAGCCAGGGCCTTTACCATTCATGGATTTAAGCCAGACCTTTATGTACAAAAGAAGTATATGCAATCCCTGCTTCTGCCTTGGCCCTAGAGGGGTAGACATTTATTTACTTAATTTTTATTTTGTTTATCTAGTCAATCTACGCACCATTTCCTCATTACTACGATTATTATTATTACAACTATTACTGTCCTTACTTCGAACTGTTTCCAGTTGTCCCATTTGTCAATTTGAAATATTTTTGCAATGTTGAATTCTTTTTTGATTGGACACTAGTCAGTAACTAGTGTGATGTGTCCAGTCCTATCTTCGCTGAATTTTATCAGTCTGCTTTGCAATGTGGCCAGCATTCCACTAGGTGCCTTGCCATCATGGTGCACTGTGAATTGTTTTTATTAGATAGCTGGAGAAAGTCGGCAGGAAACCTTGGACCTAGGTTTTGTGATAGTTGTCACTCTCTAGCCAGCAAGGCGTATCTGCAGCGTTTCAGGAACTCATATCCCTTCTGAGATTCAAACCCGCGCCACCCAATGAGTGCTGCAGTCAGAGACATTACCACTGAGCTTTTCAGGATAGCGATTGACCTCCTATAGGTCTGCATTGGATATTTTCGATTGTACACTAGTTAATAACTAGTGTAATGTATCAAGTCATATCTTCGGTGCAGACTTCCTGCCGATTGCCTCCAACCATCTAATAACAGCAATTCAAAGTGCACCGTTGTGGTGAGCCAACTAGCATGGTGGCAACATTGCAAACCTGACTGATAGAATTCAGTTTGCACCGAAGATAGGACTAGACACATTACACCAGTTACTGACTAGTGTCCAATCAAAAAAAGATTTAATATAAAATCATGAATTCTAAAATGACATTTGAAAGAGAAATGTTAAACTTTAAAGCATAAAGTATCATTCAGAAAGGCATCATCTGTTAAAATAATTAAATGACATACCTCACATGACAAGCCTTCATAACCATAAGGACATGTACACTGTTCAATCTCACCAACCCATTGACCTGGTACATCCGATTTAACAGCATGTTCAACACGTAAATTGTACAACTCCAGACTACTTTGATCACGGAAATATTTCACACGTAGACCGACTTTTTTCACATCACCTAAGACTTGCATAAAACCAGCTCGTCCAATTGTCTGATCAACTGGTTCTTTACATTCCTTATCAATATGCCAACGTTCACGTTCAGAAAGTCGTATATTCACTCGATTGTCGTATCCTGTTGGAATAATATGCACTAAGAGACGGTCTGTTGGTGGACACCAATACAGAGAACGATTTGATGACTGGAAAACAGGGAAAATACAAGAGGAAGACAACAGTTAATTGCGTGAAATAAATTTACAGGTTTAAGAGTCACACAGATGAAGTTACAACCCATTGGGTGTATGATAAGGTGAGTTCATCATCAAATTTATGAACACCACCGTTCTCGATAAGGCGAAAGAGTGAATAAAGTGGTACGTAGTTCAACACTGACCCATCTTGTCGACACAGAATATCAGCTATACACTAACAAAGCTGTCAAATCTAGTTTGCATACCCTATGAGTACTCTTTTTGTAAACAACAGAAGTGGCCTTATCATATTATTATTATTCTTTTGGATTCTGAGTGGAATATATAGCTTCAACGACACATCTTCACTTTATCCTATCTCCTACCGTCCTCTTCAGCTTGGAAAAAGATTACCCACAATCTCTCATCTCCTCCTCACACGATCTCCTCTGTGTCACCCTAGGATGACCGACTCGTCGCTTCCCATTAGGATTGCATTGAGTGATTCATTCGAAATTTTCCTCAATGTATTTTCGATCCATCTCCACTTTCTCCTAAATATTTGTTGAGCGATTGGCTCTTGGTTTTTTAGTTTTTCTTGTTACTTATTATTTCTAGCCATTTGTTATTCAGTATGGAGCAAAGACACCTGTTGAAAAACGTCTGCAACCTGTTGGAAATCCTTTTCATGACACGCATCGCAAGTTTCTGACTGGTATAGAAGGACCAACTTGACATTGGTGTTGAAAATGTAAGTCTTATTCCTTATACTGAGTTATTGCAGAATATTTCCAAACTGGTTTCAGGTTGATGAAGGCATATATCGCCTTTCTGATTCTGGCTGACTGGATTTGACATCTTCATCCAGTCCTACCACCTGTGGTTGAAACCATGCTTCCTGGTCAGTAAGCGAAGGAAGAAACCTCTGACAAATTTCTCCTGTTGATGGTGATTGGTGCTGGTTGTTGTTGTGGTGGCGGTTCGTCGGTTAACTTCATCACCTCCTTCTTCTCTATGTTCACCTGTAGTCCTGTGTTTGATGCCTCTTCAGCCAGTTTGTTGGTTTTCGCCTGTAAGTCTTCGAGTTTCTGTGATATTAGACATAAATCATCTGCGAAATCCACCCAAATAAGTCAAACCTATGTGTTCAGAAGAAATCCGTTCAGTCTCTTCTCCTGCCATGATCGTTTACATAATAAACATAAACTCCTACAAACGACCCTCACCTATCCTTGTAACTATCACTTGAAAATGCATCATAGAATAAACTTAAATGATAAAAAGAATGCAGTGATGCAGTATTATTTACTGATAAAGGTTACATCACAATTTGGTTGCCTATAATTCTAAGTAGCGCACCAACAAGTATAAATAATGAAATGAGACAGGGAAACAGAAGGAATTTAAGACATATAGATAAGGGACATCAGAACAATTTCTAGCAACGATTGTGGGGTCAACTACATGCGTCAGGATAAAAGTTCGGGAGTAGTCGGATCATTGCAATGACATATTAGTGTAAAGCAATTGACAAGGAACTAACTGAAAATTGTTATTTCTCTTTTTTTCACTCTGTTTTTCTAAAAGTGTAAATACTACTTACTCTTTTTAAGTAAAATGTAGAATTCTGGTATAATTGGTTGGAGGATTTCATCGTAAGAAGACATGGGTTAGAGAACCATTGGAAAACAAGCAATGGAGTACTGGACAGTTCGCTATTCCGCCCCAGTTTGGGACTCTTCACAGTACACATCCACCACAGGGGTTTGAACCCAGGACCTTCTGGTTAAAAGCCAATGAGCTAGCTCGTAGGCCGTTAAACCACTGGGATCCGATGTTAGAATTCGTGGGCCATTGGATTGGGACTCAGTGGCTTAATGGTCAATGAAAAAAATCCCTACAAAACCATTACTTGAAAATTAATCTGATGCTCACTAGTAACTGGCCCCATTCAGGCAGTTAACTTGGGGTTCTAGTGGGAAGCCGTGACCAGTAGGGTACAGCAGATTGAAGGTGAGGCAGTAACTCATCAAAGAAGACATTTCGAAGTGGTCGCGCTGTCATGAATTGGCAGAAGTTGGAATCGGGTACCACTGGTTTAGTGGTCTATAAGCTAGCTCTCCTTGTAACCAGAAGGTCCTTTGTTTGAACCCTGGCGGGTGGATGTTTACTGTGAAGAGTCCCAAACTAGAACGAAATAGCCAGCTGTCCAGTACTCCAGTGCTTGTTTTCCAATGGTTCTGTAACCAATGTCATCTCACGATGAAATCCTCCAGCCAATCGAGCAAAATCCTAACTAAGCCAATACTTGATAATTGTGGTATAAATTGAAAACTCTTTAATGACTTCTTAGATGCTACTTTAAGCTCAAAGCCAAAGCTGTGTACTCAGATTGTCGGTTATTTTAGAATTCGAATCAGTTTTGTTAGTTATATTTTCGTCATAAACCAAAATCACTTGGAGAGATCACTTAAAACCAAGGAGCAATGAGCAGATGTTTCGTCTGATTCTTGCATTCTCCATCGGCGCGCACCCATAAGTCCGCCACCTATGGAACCCAGGACATTTCAAATGAAAAGTCCAAGCTCGCTGACCAATCAGCCACTGGAATGGAATCCATGGCTGTATAGTGATGAAGAGACTGAATTTAGGACGAAATGGTTGTTGAGTACTCCTTGCTTTTCAATGATTCTTTAACTTATATCGAGTCGTGATAAAATCTGAATTGAAATTATAAAAACACTATTGATAATAATTATCGGGAAAACTATTAAGCAACTCACATGTAAAATGAGATATGGTCCACGTAGATGACTTGAACTTTCACCGAATAATCGAATATTCAATTTGATATTATATCCATAAGATGTAACCTAAAATAAGGAATAATAATAAAAAAAGAATACTTAATCATTGGGAATAAAATTGAAAGAACCAACTGTAATATGCAGTGTCGATGCTTGCGAACATTGAATAGTTTGTTGATTCGAATTGGTCTCCATATTGGCCGAAGACAAGTAGTCTGGCATTTCCTAATCGTGTACCGATTGGCAAAAGATTGGCGAAATACGATCAGAAGTACTATTGTACATTAAATTAACGTTTATTTACAGACTTTGGCACTGATTAACCATTGTAAATCTGTTTCGTTACCGCTTGAAGAATAAACAATCGTGTTGCGCAAGCGTTTTCTGTTATTCTGCGTCGGTTACAATGCATAGCGTTTTGAGTATTAAGCTTAGTCTTGTGAAACCAGCGATAGGTCCAGGATCTCTGTGATCTGGATATTTGACATGCAGGCTTAAAAGTATGATATTAGTACACAGATCAGATGGCAGGTATATAAGGCTCCTTTTCAATAATCCACTGTGTACTTAATAAAATATCAAAAGCCATCAGCTACCGAATACTCCAGACAACAGAAGCTATTGCAGTTCCCTTAAGATAGCCTGCACTTTTCAGAAAAAAGAAAAAATCCCAGCCAGTGTTGCTACTCCGGCCTACAATGAAATTTATAAATTATCAAGTATTGGTTTGCTTCAGGGACTTTCGATCAGTTAGATAACCACTGGAAAACCAAGCAGTACTGGGCAGCCCTTTCGTCAGTCTAGTTTGAGGCTCCTCAATAGTACGCACCGAATATGAATCAAACACAGGAACTTCCGATCACAAGGCGACTTCGTAAAACATTCAGCTACTGTGACCCTACCGAATGGCCCATAAATCTCAGTTTCTATCAATTTGTGATATATGGAGCCAGCGCCAGCCAATGTCATACTCCAGTAACTCTTCCATTATCTAATTCCAGGTGGCTTTCTACATATAGCCGGTCTCTAGTGAGATTCAGCTGTTAGAGTTTTAGTGAAAAGTAGTAATCAGACGGGTCCATTAAGTCAGTTAAGAGTACAGTTACTCGCTTATGGCATTGCCTGGCGGTTTCATTAGTACACTGCTTAGTGGTGAAACCCGGAATTCATGGATCATTGGATCGTACCCCAGTGGCTGGATATTCTACCAGCTTGCCTTATAACCGGATGTTTTCGCGTTTGAACCTCACTGAGTACATACTGATGAAGGGTTCCAAACTATAATGAAGTAGCCATCTAGTACTCCCTGGTCTTCTGATGGTTCTCTAAATGACATCATTGCGTAATCAAACTTATTCCTTTACGTTCCCAGTGGAATATAGGGTTCCAAGCTACAGGCTTGAAATTTCGATAACAGTGGTGATTACTTTTACACGATGGGTTTGCTAGCCTCATACCCAACCTTCCCTCGTTACCGGTTTTACTACTGGCTTAGCGAGGTAAAGGAGTGAGTCTGTGTCCGGGGATCGAACGCCGAACCATATGAGACGTGGCTGGTGAGCATTCTACCGCTTTGCCACCGACGCACGTCGTCAAACTTGAAACAAAACAATTCCCTACAGACAAACTCTTGAAAATGAAACTTTGGCTGTAGATTTATTTCAGTATCAGAGAAATGCAAACCACTTCCAGGATTATACATATATATTTTTACATATATACATAACTGTGGTTGACTGCAATAGAAGCAGAGTTAAGCATAATTCATTCCCACGGCAAGTGAGGATAAACTGCGTCAACTGAAGTGAAATCCCAAACATATTTATCCTCGGTCTCAGTTGCATACTGGCTAAGTGTGTGAGAAACTGCTAACAGACATCTGAACAAGTAAGGTGGAAATACAACGCAAATTGAGACAGAATTCTAAACAGTGGCATCCAGGTTACACAGTAAGAAACGCGACAAAGATTTAGACAAGTTTTTGACTCTACTTGCGTAACAGGAGCTTCTCTAACACGGTTGTAGTACTCAGTGTAACTTAATAGGCCTCCGTAAAGATCAGAGTACATGATACCATTTAATGTACACACTACTAATTGGATAATATCAGTAGTTGGACACTATCCATATCAACAAGTAATACTTGATAGCTAGACAAACATAATCTTGATGCTGGACAGCCATTTCGTTCATTTAGTTTCCTTCAGATCACTAATGATTTATGTGAGTAATATCCAACTACTCATATTATCCAACTAGTAATATATAACGTGACGCAATTACGCTTGTTTGCTTGATTACCACCAACCCACACTGAACAAGACAAATCGCTTTGTGGACAGTGACTGATTTGAGTTTGTCTAGGAGACAAGTTTTACTTATTTGATTGCTGCTTGTGAAAACAGTTCCCAGGCTTCATTCCAAATGCACGTAGACACCTATGAGCTGGCTTTTAAATTATTCGCCATTATTATTATTATTATTGTTCTCTTGGGTTCCTAATGGAACATAGGGCTTCAACTACACGTCTCCACTTCCTTCTGTCTTCTGCTGTACTTTTCACTTTCATCCATATTAGTCCATACTGCTTCAGCTCCTCTTCACACGATCTCCATGTCACCCTTGGACGTCCCACTCGCCGCTTTCCTTTCGGGTTCCACTCGAGCGTTGGCCTGACGCTCGATGTCACCCAACGAGTGACCTCCTCAGCGAGTGTCCAATCCATCTCCACTTTCCCCTGCATATTTGTTAGGTGATTGGTTCTTGTTTTGCTTCTTCCCATAGTTTCTTGTTGGTGATTCTTTCCGGCCATCCGATCTTCAGCATAGAACAAAGACAGCTGTTGATAAAGGTTTGCAACAGGCTGTTTGAAATATTCTTTGTGACCCGCCGCCAGGTTTCTGATCCATCCATATAGAAGAACTGACTCACTTGACGTTTGTATTGAAAATCCGAATTTTGTTGTTGATGCTGAGTGACAGCGGATGATTTCCAGATTGGTTTCAGGTTGATGAATGTGTATCTCGCCTTCGCGATTCTCGATTTGACATCTTCGTCCGTTCCACCTGCCTGTAGTTGAGACAATGCTCCCTAGATAAGTGAATGAAGTAACCTCTTTCAAATCCCTCTCGTTGATGGTGATTGGCGCTGCTATTGTTGTTGTTGGTTGGTTATTTTCATAACTTCCGTCTCATCTATGTTCACCTGGAGTCCTGTCTTTGCTGATTTGCCAATATCAATATTTTTAAATTATACGGAGCTGAAATATACAGTCCCCGTCGACATGTTGGCACCTGGTTCGAAATGCATCGAGGATGCGTTTAGAGCAACATGAAGTCGTTTATTTGATAGTGTCTAACTGTAGACTCCAAGACGCACATTTTGCTCTATCTGGGACTTTTCAACTGGACGCGGCTACTCCCCTCTCGATTCTCAGTGAGTGATGAAACCCTCACTGAGAGTCGAACCCAATACCTATCAACTGTACACTGTGACCATGATGTTCTTAGATATCAAAATTTATATCTTTGCAATACTACACTCTTTATAATTGATTAACTTACCCATGAACCTAGAAGACCAAAATCACTTTCAGCAAATGTTGATTCATCTGGAACATCAGGTACACGAAGTAAGTCTTCTTCGACTTCAGTAGCACCTTGACCTTCTTCAACACTACCATCATCTTTATATGTGGTTAAAATGATTGGACCACTTTTCGAATTGAATGCTTTATCATGCTGTAAAATAAATTGATGAAAGTTGTACAAATTATTTTATTATTATTCATATTAGGCTTTAAATAATTAAAAACTATGAACAGTTTAATAAATTTATTGAAACCTCTTTTAGATTAAAATTGATCATATTATGGTGGTGTGATACAGACAATGTGTGTTCCAACGGAATATTATTCTCACATATTCCCACAGTTCAATACTGCATTTGCAACAGAATACCATACATATTTGAACATTGTGTTTCATGTCGTTAATGTAAACCAAAATCACACGTTCCATGAGTGGTTAAAGATTATAAACTGTATATGTATAAATAGCTGTTTGATCAGTTGAAAATATACCCTGGCTTCCATGTCTTGCCCTCTGTTGTTACATTTGATGTCGCTGCCTGCCGACAAATGGAAAGCCTATGCCCTGCAGTTTTTAAAGAAGGCGACATATAGATCTTCTTGCAGGACTTCGAGGCTGTTACGAAGTTGAATAGCGTTTAAAGTGAGTCAGCTAAGAGGCTTTTACTTGAAACACTGCTGAGAGGTTTGGCAAAGGCAGCATATCGTAGTGTGGGCGAAACACTAGCAAATACGAGCCAGGGTCACGCAGACTGCCGCCAAAGTTGGAAGGACCATACATGGTCACGGCGAGACGGGGTCTCGCATATACGATCAGAAATGCAAACAAAAAGAAGCGGGTGAACGTCAGTGAGCTCTGTAAATGGATACAGCAAGACAAGCAAACAAAGACGCCAGAACCAAGAAGATCGGACCAACTTCAGTCTAAAGTATTTGATGGGGCGACGAGTGTAGTGGTGTGATACAGACAATGCGCGTTCCAACGGAATATTATTCTCGCATTAATCAAAGTTGAATACTACGTTCGCAACAGAAGACTATGTATGTTTGAATATTCTATTTCATCTCGCCTAATATAAACCAAAAACACACGCTCAGTAATTGGTTAAAGAATATAAACTGTATAGATATAAATAGCTTTTTGACCAAATGAAAATACACCTTGGCTTTCATGTCTTGTCTCATGCTGTTATGATATTATTGAACATATTACACGACATTTTGGTTTATTCCTAGAATTTGTGAAGTACTTAAAACATTTCAATGTTGGTTTCATGAAGAGCCGAAGTATTGAAAACTGCCAACTGCTGGACTGCTATTTCGTTGTTAGTTTGTTAATGTTCAACAATATGAACTTGAGAGATCAAACCTAGGAGCTTCAGGGGAAAAGGCAAGCCGGCTGACCATTCTGTCGTCGGATTGGAATTCGCCTTATATCGCTACCGCCATCCAATACGATATCAGAATATTTCCTTATCTTACATTATTTAATTGTCTCTGGATCTCAAAAAATTAAACTTTGTAAATTCCGGTCAAGTTAAGAGGTAATAAGAGCTAATATTGACAAGACCACAGTTTTCGGGGAAGGAACACTGTTGTTGTTATCTTAAGTGAATGACGACTGAAAGTGAAATAAAAAACACCTTAATTCGTCGCAGTACTCTCAACCAGCTACCCCAGTGTACCACAAGCTCGACATTATCTCCAGTTGAATGCAAAACCACCTTACCATTGACATTTAGCAGATCAATTAATAGGAAACTCAAGATCTGTTTAAATGCTGTTGTGGTAATATTAGACAATAGCAGATTAGTTTTCCCTTAAAATGGAGACATTCAGTACTTTTCATTTGATGCTGACTTCCTCTGTTTTACTTTTCCTTTATTTTTCTCTATTCCGAGTGAGAAATACTGATTTAAGATTTAATAATTTGATAGGGGTGGAGTTGCTTTTACGACATGGGCCTCACATTCAAACTCTTCCTTTTCCTCGGCTAGGAGTGAATTAACTGAGAATTGAACCATGACCTGTCGACTATGCGGCCAGTATCCTAATATTGGACCATCTTTAATTAAACATCAAAATCTATTTGTTTATTAATATTATTGTTTTCTTAAGTTCCTAGAGGAACATAGGGCTTCAGACACACGTCTTCACTGCGTTACGTTCTCTGCCAGCGTTTTCACCTGGCTCCACGTCTGCCCACATGCTTTCATCTCCTCTTTGCATCACCTCCTCCACGTCACCCTCACACTGACGACCAACTCGCCGCTTCCCATTCATGTTCCACTCGAGCGATGGCCTGGCGTGTGATGTCACTCACTTGATGGTTTGTTTACTCAGGGTATGGCCAGCCAATCCACCTAACTCGACTTCTTCCTGCATATTTTCTATACAATTGGTTCCTCGTAGGTTGGTTCACTCATAGCTAGAGATCCCTGTTGCTGATCTTTTCTGGCCGGCCATCTGATCCTGAGCGAAATATTGAGCGAAGACAGCTGTTGATGCAAGTCTGCAGTTTGTTCGAAGTGCTCTTCATGACGCGTTGGCCGAGTCTCTGATCAGTATTGTGAGTAGCACTGACTTCACATTGGAGTTGAAAATCCGGATCTTATTTTCCATGCTGAGTGCTGACCTCCGCACAGACCTGAGAGTAATGAAAGCTTGCCTTGCTTTCCCGATTCTCGCTTTGATGTCCTCATCAGTTTTGTCCGCCTGTAGTTGAAACCATGCATCCCAGGTAGGTAGGTAAGTAGGTAGGTAGGAGAAGGAGGTTGCTTCTTTCAGATCTCTCCCATTTATGCTGACTGTTGTCTGTTGTTGTTGCTATTGTTTTTGGTGTTGGCCAGGAATCTTTATCACCTTTGTTTTCTCTTTTTTCACATGAAGTGATGTCTTTGATGCTTCTTCCTGTTGATTATTGATTTTTACTGTGGCGAAATGCTAGTTGTCTGTTGAAAAATGTTTCGTTCAACTTATACTGAACTCGTCAACTGCATGTACCTAAATCTTCAGTGAGTGCTGATCCTCCAAACCAACAAACATCATTTGTGAATACCAAGTGAAGACATTTTATTACTCCATGAAATAATAGGAAATCAAGTTGACAAGTCTCGGATGGAATGAAATAGGTGTCCCAGATTCCAATAGTAGCTACATTAAAAGAAAGCGGTAATCCAAAGTGCCTCAAAAAACTCGACCGTGATCATATGGAAGGTTTTTAGAAAAATAGAAAAGTGGAAACTTAACACAAAATAAAACTGCTGCAGTCAAAAAAAGGCAGAAAAAAGAAACACCACAGATGGTTTCTAAAAAAAAATAATTCTAAGAAATCTAAAAGGCTAAGAGAGTTTATTATTATTATTAACAATAACCAAGTTATAGAAGGGAAGAAATTTGTCCCACATCAAGTACAATCACAATAATTCATTTAAATTAAGCTTGTTAACATGTTATTATAGTGGGAATCATGTTTTCTCAATTTCTGTTGATTCTATTCTATTTTTTGCTTCATTTACATCAGTTAAAGCTTTTCAGGTTTTGTAGAATGTAGCATGAACATATTGCAGCGAAGTAAATTTTGAAAGTAGGTCAGGAAATAAATGAAGGATATTCTTTTCAATAAGTTCTCCTGAGGATCGTACTATAATAGCCTAGGATATCCTAGATATTCTAAACGAAATTGGTGGAGGCTAGAATTCATGGGGTAGTCATTGATTCGGGTCTCAGTGGATGAATGGCCTACGACCTTAACCTGTAACCAGAAAGTCCTGGATTCGAGACCCAGTAGATTCGTACTGCTAATGAGACCCAAACTAGGATGAGACAGCTGTCCAGTACTCCAGTACTTCAATGGATTATAACAGTCGCGAACATGAACTAGCACTGGTGGAGAAACATCCATTTTTTCGGCACATCCAATTTTAGGGCAACACCAGTACAAAGACTGCATCCGAAAGTTTAACCGAAGTTATGTAGAAGTACTATCCTATTCTTCCACTGCCGTCCAATGTTCAACCTGAAGCCTAAAATACCGTTTTAACTGTTCCTATTGTTCAACACATATACGGAGTGCTACCAAGCAGGTTCGTCCATGAGTTTAAGTGTATTTAACAGCCTGTTTCAGAAAAGGTGAAATCATATGCATAAGGCTGAAGGTGAATACTGATGAAGAATTCAAAATAAGGACGAAACAGCTGTCCACTGCTCCCTGGTTTATCATTGGTTTTCGAAATGAAGTCAGCTCATTGTCATTCTTAAAATCATGACCTGACATGGATTAGAAGATGACTGGAAAACCTGGACAGGTGTTCCGTTCCAGTCTCAGACTAGGACGAAATGACGTCAGTGGTTCTCGAACCGATGTCAGCTGATGACAAAATCATGTAGCTAATCAAATCCCTGCAAACTAACAACAGAATCTTGGGATCAATCAAATCCCTGTAAAGCAACACTGAAAAGTGGAATCTCTTCGTCGACCAAGAAAAAACAAGCAGTGAAGAACTGCATTTGATGAAAATAGCAAGTTTTACTTGAGTATGAGACGAGTGTTGCCGTTGGCGTAAAATTTCAATGATCGGACTGTGATTTATCAGCCTAGTACTCTATACAATTCCCTACCTGACGATGTAATAATGTAATAATCACAACTACTGCTCAGATATTACGTGAATGCTGGTTAAATGTCATTAAACGGGATACACAATCTCGTTTTCTCGATTTTAAAGCTGTTTCAAACACTTTAATTAAGTTATCGAGTCAAGTTAAAGATACATTCCGCATACAATTTAAACAAAGTGGGAGGACCAATAATAAGAAAGCTGCAAGGAGAGACTTCATTTAAACAATACCAACCAACCTAACTGAAACCCAACTTTTCTGAAACATCCCAATCAAATCCAACATATATACACTCGAAAGAATGTAAAGTGTCTAGTCAAGTTTAAATTTGTTAAACTTGAGCAAAATATAAATAAGATTTCACACACAGTAGAGTTACTTATATCAATCCCTCTTACATTCATTGACCGCTGATAATAATGTCTAGTGCGACAATGAAACTTTCGCTGGCCGGAAATCGCAAGTTAGCAGAAGAACTCAGTCTAACCGTATCAGAAAACTGGCTACTTATGAAGGCGAATTTGCCAGCCT